ATCCCTTCTTCTTAGTCATAAGAATGCACTAAGACTTCCTTAGAGAACTAATTTTGATATGGTTTCTTAATCATTAAGATGATCACAAAACTGATACTAAAGTACTCTCCCATCTTTTCAGATTTGAGAAACTTTTATCTTTCTGCCTAAGTTGATTCTTCTTATTCGCTCTGCCTTACATTGGAACCTTTTCCAATGTCTCAGAGTTACACTTAAGCTGTAAGTATAATCATATTTACTGAGCTTTAGTAAACTATGACGAATAGTCTTATTAATCTTTTGTGGTGGACTTAATCAGTGCACATGACTATGTACTCGATCCCTTAGTCCATTACTTGACTCACACATCATGTGAACAAGTAATTAGTCTTAATTTTCCAATACTTGAAAGTTCTCATTCATCATGCTATACAACTTGCATGATTCCAAGTCCCGGTCCAATTGGACTTTGGATGATGAGAATCTTTCCTTATTTGGTAAATTTAGACATTACCACAAATGAAAGAATCAATTTCATATTTCCACTCTTGCTATTAATGGAATCATATAAGCAACAATTTTTCCTCAAATGCCATTGTAAGGATATTTTAAAATAAATAAAATCAAAAATTTTCTTTTATTTTAAAACTATGCGGAAAAACTTATCCTTACAATCCATATGAAAACTTGTTGTTATCTATTCCTTAGCAATATCTCATAACTCCTAAGAAGTAGCTCAAGAATCCGATTTTCAAACTACGCGATAGAAATCCATCTATGCGATCAGATTCAGCATATTCTTTCTTTAAGTTCCTTTACTTTTCTTTGATTCTTAAAACATTACCATGTGACCCAGTCACATCATGTATCAGGAATCTCAGAATAGAAACTTAACAGAGTTAGATAGTGGACTTTACCTGAAGTAGAGTCAAACTTATTGACTTTAACATCCTTAGGTAAATTTGGCAGCTTCGCAACTAATGACCCTTCCTTTGGCAATATAAACATATGGACTCTTTGATAATGTTTACACAGGACTATCACAGACTTAGCTTTTCTCTTTACCATTTGTTCAACCGAGTTGACTATGGCCGATCCCTTTCCATTGGGAAGAGAATGTTTTTCTGGATTTCCTGAGTCACTATTGTCAAAGTCCATAAAGTTTCAGGAAGTTGATCTTAGCAAATAGATAAGATCATTAAGGGTCTTGTCATAGTCTATTTCATAGGTGTTCTAAAAGAACTCACTATGTGACTTAGAAAGTAGTTGAACCACCAACTTTCTCAAGACTTTGACACCCTTCTCTCCCGGCTTGTCAATATGTGACTACATCTCCAAGATGTGATCACACCTAGACCTTGCCTTGCCAATAGGGCTCGAGTGACTTTAAACTTTTAAAGAACTTGTGGGGTAGGGAGAATAATTGGAGGAGGTGACAGAAGTATGATTTCCATGGGACATCATCTTCATTTAGGAAAGCTTGTTTCAAGAGATTTGGGAAGATCATAAATGTCTAACCATACATCTTTTGGGAGATATTCAAGATAGTTGATATTAAAGTCCTTAATATAAACACCCAATATGAAATATTAAGGCTAGGACCCATCAAACTATTTTATAACTTAGAAGAGGTATGCCGTAATCCAAGCTATAAAACAATTTGAAGGTAGGTGAATGACGATTCACCAATTTCCACCAAGATAAACGAAATGTATTATTAGGTTTTAATTGGTTTTGAAACTCCTAGATCTTTTGAGATTCATTGAACTGTTCAATGGCATGTTTCAATCTCGAGTGTGCCCTTCAGGTTTTGTGACTGGGATGCCGAGGATCACAAAACAAGGTGTGAAGTAACCATGCAAATTACTTGGTACCCTTAAGTGTTTACCCCTCAATCGATGTGCCGGTTAACCACACACGCTCCATCGATACTATGATAAACATTAAGTTACCCTTTGCCTACCTTGTTAAATACGAGTTAGTGTGCCGGTTAACCACACACGCTCCACTAACCGACTTAAACAAAGTGCAAAGTGTAATTTCATGGATTAGCACCTTATTCACATTTTCCTAAGTAACTAAGATTGGGAATTATTAAGAGTTTAGTTACTTAGTATTTATCATTAATACTTTAATGAAGGGAGAATTATAGTCATGTCAAACCCGTTCGGCTAACGACCCTCCACCAGTCAAGCAAGCGGTGGGTGAGAGTGGACACCCATTAAGTTGCCATTTTATAGGCAACAACCTTATACCCACCTTATAGACCGGCTTCGTGAATGAGGCGTACTAGCGGTAAGACCGACTTTACTCTTATACATGTATATATTATTAACTTATAATATTATAAAGTATAAGGGTTGAATTTTAACTTTTAAAATTCTAAGGGCTAACTTGGAATTAAAGTATTCATAAGAGAAAACTTTACAAATTCCAAAACTTGAGGGCAAGTTTTGAAACTATTCAAAACTAATTAATTCCATAACTTATGTATTTAAAGTAGTTTTAATCCAAAAACTCTTCAAGTTCCATAACTTGAGGACAAATTATGGAAGACTTTAAACTAATAAAGAATTAACTTTTTCTTTATTTTATAACTTATGAATTAATTAAGGTTACATTATTTTTTATTTTTTTATATTATTTAATGAAGAGACTCTTGGTCCTCCATAACTTGAGGACAAATTATGGAGTCATAACTCCAATTAATTAGAACTAGACTCTTCATTTTTGTAACCTTTGCCAACTTTATGAGTTTTATGAGTCTTTAATGTGACTCTTCATGTAACTTGAGGATAAGTTACACAAACACATTTTATACTCAACTCTTAGATTAAAATGGATTGAAAACAACTATTTCATTCAACTTTTCTATTAATCTAAGAAACTCATAAGAACAAGATAATTCAAATCAAACTTTTTCATGTAATTAGTCTAACCTTTAAACTAATACAAAACATGAATCTATTGACAATTATCTTTGAAAATGGATTAGCATGAACATTACCACATCAAAAAACAAGTTTATAAGTTCAAAAACAACTTAGGGTAATGTTCCTAGTCCATTTCTAGCCAAAAACCTCGAAAGTATGCTGTCTGGGGTCCAACTCGTCGAGTGCATGAACACAACTCGGCGAGTTGGATGCATTTTGCCTTGGACTCGTCGAGTCCCTTCATGGACTCGGCGAGTCTGCTGGGCTGACAGCATCAATTTCGATTTTTCAGCTTCTATTGCAAGTATAACAAGAAAACAAGCCTAGGCTCTGATACCACTGTTGGGTTATGAGCATTCTAACACTCCTAAGTGTACATGAAACCCTAAATACCTTGGATCTATGTTTTCTCTATTATACATGCAAATATGAACATCCAAGGTATTATCCTAATCTAGCATACAATATTATCAATATAACAAGATAGAATACATACCTCTTGATGGTGCTTGTCTTCATGAAGCTTGAGTGCCTAGTGCCCCAAGTGTGACACCTCAAATGGTTCACACAACACCATAAGTACTTGGAATAACTTAGAGAGAAATTAGAACACTTCATGAAATCGTCTAGCCCTCATACACACACATAGTCACGATTTCTTGAGCCATGGGTTTCTTTTATATGGTGGCTATTAGGGTTACACCATGTAACTCCTGACTTTACCCATTCCTTATGCTCCATGGATTTTAACCTCCATGGAGTATCCATGGGTCACCCCATGGACTTAGTCCAACATAAGGAATCTTGGATCACAAGCCCACATATATAAGAATGAATGATTTACACAATCAACCCATATATTTAATTAGTCTCCTTTTGATCACTTAATTAATTCCAAATTAATTCTTGATCAATACTAATTAAATAACCTTATTAATATATTAGAACTTATAATATATTAACAAACCTTAAGTGTTATTTCTCTCATTTTAGTCTATCCAAGTGCATGATGCCATGCAACCCAAATGGACCATGCCGGGTCGGGTCAAGTTTTACCAATTATAGTTATGGACTTAGACATTAATCCAACAGGTTATACGCTAGGTGGTATGCTAGTTTTATATGTGGTATACTTGCATGAAAGACCATAGGGGGAGCCCATGACGCTTGGATGTAAGACCATGTGGGGGAGCCCATGGCTTTTCAGGTAAAGACCATGGAGGGAGCCCATGGCACTCGGATGTCATACCATGTGGGGGGAGGCCATGGGTTTGCAGATAAATACCATGGGGGAGACTATGGGACTTAGGTGCAAGGCCATGTAGGGGAGCCCATGTCATCTTGGAGTAAGACCCTGGGAGGAGCCTACAGCCTCCGTATATGTTCGTATGCATGGTTTATGTGGTTTAGGTAGCTTTTATTGCTAATATGGATTATGTGATTATGTGGATTGTGTGGGGTATGCTCTGGGGAACTCATTAAGCGTTAGCTTTTAGTTTGTTGATTTGTTTCGGGTACATCTGAGCCTAAGGGCAAGGGCAAGGTTTGATGGTGCGACATGCACTCTTCGACATTTGATTTGACGAGACACTCTGATGTTTTAAATAAAATGTTAATGTTATGGATTTTGAAAACAATTGTCATTGCTACTTCATATATTATGGGAATGATTTAGTTAATTAAAAATGAAAATTTTATTTGAGATTTTTGGTCGTTATACACTATTGATATTATGCTGAAAATCTTTACCAAAGACCAAACTTCCTCTTCACACTTTCCCAAGACTGCATGAAAGTGAATCTTCAATCTCTTTTATTCGTCTTTATCATTGAAGTTAGCTATTTTGAACCGAGTAGACTTGAACAACATATGATTGATTAGGAAATCGAGTTGGTTGAATTTTGAGTTTTCGATGTCATAAATTTTCTTTCGCCTTTTCAAGAATTCATCATTCTTACCAATTACAACAATTTCTATTGTTTCATAACACCAATGCTTGTTATGATCACCTTTGTTCAATCCTGGTGGACCATTCACCATTTGACTCAGAATGTTGTTAATTTACCTTTGTCTTTCCATCTCTATTACTTATAATTTCTTCTTCTCCTCAATTGTTTTTTCAACTTGAATACATTTCCCTTTGTCTCTAGGATCAACATGTAACGTTGATTTAACAAGGGTAGAACTCGAACCTCCAGCTCCTTCATTAATAGAAATTCCTTTATTTTGAACATTTGATTGATTAGCATACCTTTGCGAAATATTCCCTGTTGTAGTAGTTGTTGTTGATAATGTGATAATCAACTTCATTGGAATTGTTGTTGGAATTTGCTTAGACATAGCTTTCCCCACAACTACTCCTGAATCTTCTCTAGATCTCTTAGACAAATCAATACCAACACCTTTATCCCCATTGCGAGATGTGTATAGGATGTGGATCATTTGTTGGTAGTCGCAGGACAAAATTTAGGATCGGAGCCAACTCAGCCTTGATACTTGACTCGATTTTGAAACCATAGTAGAAATGGAATCTTGAGAAATAGAAGATTGACTCGAAAGATCAACTTTCAATAGTGTCTCTTTAAAATTAGATAAAAAGTCTTCAACTTTCTTAAACACCTTGTCATCCTTCTCATTCATTACTTTTATATCTTTCAAATAGTTGTTGTTGAAGGCAGTGATATCTTCGATCAAGTGAGTTGTTACATTTGCTACGACGTGAACCTTTTTATGCAACAAGTTGTAGTTATCATCTAAATTCTTAAGCTCTTTAGCCATCAAGGTTCGAATCTCGTTAACCTGGAGCTTAAGAGAAGATTTCGACTCAGACACTTGTTTCACAAAGAGCTCATAACGCTCTTTCGCAGCTTCATGTAGCTTAGTAATCTCATAATCAACATTTCAAGACTGATTAGCCATTCTTTCTTCATGTTTCGTATCTACACTTTCAATGATTTTTCTCGAAAGATTCTCTTGAGACTTGAGAAGATAATCAATTTCAACCCTACTAACTGAATTCTTACCTCCAGTATTAGCAAAAAATTGAATAATAGAATTCATTTTTGAGTTAGGAATATTGAATCGTTTATTAAACATGATTAACTCATCAAATGAATCTTTTTTTTTTCCAGGATTGAATTGTAACTCTACGAATGAAACCATGACATCATCATCATCATCTACTTCAACTTCATTAATGATTTTCTTACTTTTGGTTTATTGAGATGAGAAAAGTGTAGCAATAGGTTCTTGCATTACACCAGTAAAAGTTGGAAAAAATGTTGTAGTGGATGAAGGTGTAGCAATAGGTTCTTGCATCTACTTCAACTTCATTAATGATTTTCTTACTTTTGGTTTATTGAGATGAGAAAAGTGTAGCAATAGGTTCTTGCATTACACCAGTAAAAGTTGGAAAAAATGTTGTAGTGGATGAAGGTGGAGTAACTGATGTAGGTGGTGGAGAGGTTGGTTGTGGTACAGGAAAAAAAGTTGTTTCGATAATTGTAGTAACAGGTGAAGTTTCGAATTTTGTTGTTGTTGTTGTTTTTGTTGTTTCAATAGTGTGCATCCCTTCACCCATATTGACATTTGTGTCCTTATCAGAAAAGTTCACAGTGATGTCTGGACTTTCGACCTCCTCCATAATAGACTCAACATTTGAAACCCCGGGTGGTGTGACTTTCATCAACTCAGGGATTGTTGTGTCCTCTTGTGCACTAGGATCGATGTTACATTCATATTAGATACGTTTGCATTGACATCAGGAATACATGTCCCCTTAATAAACAGTTTGAAAGGGGTATCCTTTCATGTTAACCATCAAATGAACCTCCCATTTTTTTATCTGTTCCATCACTTTCATGTTATGATTCCACAAAAGACATCTTCTAGTTTATCCTCAACAGGAGTTGCCTTTCGCTTCTTTAACTTTTGCACGACATCTAAAACAGTCCTATTTCTTGATACAACAGAACCAGGAGATGAAAGATCTTGAATCACAAATCCTCTTCATGTAATCTAAAGTTTCTTAACCCTCTTTGAGCCAACCATTTTTGTACCTGGTTCACCTACTTGTGCAATTGTAGCTATTATATAAGTTGGATTCTCCATTGGAATTTTCTCAACTATTGGCTCAACAGTTTCGATAATAGGCTCTTCTATGGGTTTTGTGGTTTCAGATTCATATGGTTTCTTAACAGTATTCTTTGTTCTTTTGAGTACCCGTTTTCCAGTCTTCGTGGGTACATTCTCTTTAACCACTTCTTCTTCTATATATTTTGGTATATTTTATTATTTCTTTTTCTTTTGGCCCTTATATGCTTTCGATGAACCTTCAACACCTTTAGATGGAACCTTTAGTGGTAGAATACAAGTTGGAGTTGAATCCATTGAAGCTCGATACTTCACCAACAATTGATGAGTAGGATTCACCAGTTTTAGCATCGAATCAGAAATTTGAGCAACATTTAGTAAAATCTTAGCATCATCCAACAAAAGTTTAGGAACCGTCATTGATGGAAACTTAGCAATATCAACATCATTAGGAAAAAGAGCATATTCTTGGGTATATACCTGCCTAAAAATTAATCCCCCAAACCTAGCACTCGAAACCCCAGTTGCTAGTTTGGAATGAGAAATCAAATTTCCAAATTCTTCACACAAGAAGGATGCATAATCAATATCTAATCCATAATACAACCCGACTACAATAGAATAAAGATCAAGTTTCTCCTTATCCAACCCTAAACTTCTTCCAGCTAGGCACCTTAGAATAATCTCGAAAAAGAAACTCTAAATACATGGAAAACTGGACTTCTTAAAATGACTAATAATGGATAAAGTGTGTTTATGACCCATCTCATTGAACATATGAATTACTTTTTCAGTAGTCACATCATAAAACATACATATAGAAGGTAACTTCAAGATTTGGGATAATTTCTTCTTTGTAAGTTTCTTTGTTTTATTGGACATCAATTGAAATGTGACAATCTTCATGGTTTTGTTGTAAATGGCAGTAGAAGCAGCTATAAATAACCATTGCATCAGAGTTGCAAATGAATATAATAAAGCATGATTAAGAACATAATTATTCAAAACCAATATGATCATTCTCAGTTCTTTAGGATAAACATCAAGCAAGGGATTAAGCCAAAGATTGGTGTGGTTAATCTTCATCATCAGTTGTGAAACCACTTCGTCATTGGTATTGAATTGATCAATAATGTTTTGTTCAAAACCCCTGAACTTGGATCTATGCTTCTGTCAAGACCCCTAAAATTGGATCACTAAGAATTTGCTCTTTTGGATGATTCCTCATCCATTTCTCCATCGGAGGAAAGACAGGATCAAAACACAAATGTGCATCCTCGTATGTTTCTTCAGCTTCTGACATTTCAAATGTAATAGAAATGTTATCATTAGTATTGAAGACTTCATTACCTCTATCATCATCATTATGATTCGACCCACTTCGTTACCCCTCAACCAATGGATTCGTTGTCTGATGATTCCTCTCGAAACCAACTTCAGTATTCAATTGCTCTCCCTCGATATGAGATTGATAAATAAATTTTTGTATTTCGTCATGGGATGTAGTCATCAAGTGCTCGCCTCCACTTTTCCATCAGTCGAATTGTGTATTCTTTCGACATTAACTCTCAAATCTGATAATGAATTTGCTTCATTGTTTTCGTTAGTGAGTGTAGAATCATCTGAGTGTTTCGATGCCTTAGGAACTTGATTGTGTTCAATATTGACTTCGACATCAATTTCCCTATCAGGAACACCAAAAATTAAATCAAGATCAATATAAAAAACAAGCATTTCCTCAGATTCTTCATTTGTTTTAGAAATTATCGGTTTCTTCAAAAATTCTTTTTTAATTCTCTTAACATAATATCCATCAAAAGTGATATTAAAAGTTTATTCACCTTTTTGAGTCATGTTGTTCAACACCCTATAAGCAACATAATTTTTTGAATTTCTCAAGAAAATCCCCTCATCATGTCTCGTCTGAAATTTGGAAATATTGACCTTAAGATTCATTATGAAACATCTACAACCAAAAACATGGAAAATTTTAACATTAGGTTTTCATTTGTTTATAATTTCATAGGGTGTGATGTTAAAACAATGATGAATAAAAGAATGATTTTGCATAAAGCAAGTAATCGAAACCGCCTCTGCCCAAAAGTATTAAGCCAAGTTCGCATATGTAAGCATCGTCCTAGCCACTTCACATAAGGACCTATTCCTTCTTTCGACTACACCAATTTTAATTGGTGTTTAAGGAGACAAAAAATATGGGAAATTCCCAATTCAGTCAGAAATTAAATCCAGAACATGATTCTTGAATTCTACACCATTGTCACTTTTTATCTTACGAACTTTCTTTTTCAAACTAAGCTCAATGTTCTTAATAAAATCAATCATCAGTTGAGCTGTTTTATATTTCTATCTAAGAAAGAAAATCCAAGTAAATCACGAAAATTCATCAATAATAACAAATATGTATTTCTTCTTATTGAGAGACTCAACAGTCACCACGCAAGTCAATATGAAGAAGTGCCAATGGTTCTATGATCTTTGTAGCAATTGTGATTATATGAATCGGACAATGTTGTATTCCATATTCACAAGCTGCACACAATGAATCATTTTCAAATTTTAAAACAAGTAAACTACGAAAAAGATCATTAAGAAAAAATATGTTTAGATTTGTGAAGTTAAGATGAGAAACGCATTGATATCATAACCAACTGAGGTCTAAAGAGACTTTTGATAGTAAACACACAGAAGGTATGCCCACTATTGGTTTCATGTCGAGAGTGAACATATCTCCCTTTATATTAGACTTCAAAAAAACTTATTTCATTTCTTTATTTGATATTATGCTTCCTTCCTCGTAAAAAAAAAACACTTGATTTTCATTTGCCAACCAAAATTTGAGAAACACTTATCAGGTTATGCTTTAACCCTTCAACATAAGAAACTTGTTTCATTGTAAACTTCCCATTTGTGACAATTCCTTATTCTTTAACTTTGCAATTTTGATTGTTTCCAAACTTTACTAATCCTACATTCTATAATGAACTAAAATCTCTCAAATTTTTCTTCCTCCTAGTCATGTGACGCGAGCATCCACTATCAATATACCAGTTTGCATCATATTGTTGTTCACATAGTACCTACAATTAGTTAGATACATTTAGTTCGCCAAGACCTATTGGTCCCTTAGATATTAGCATTGACAATAGTGTGCAATTATGAACTAGAATCCCAAATTGGAACTTTAGTTTTAATTTTCTCATTAAATCAACTTCATCACCTTTAGGCATAGAAATGTAATTATGTACTAACGAAGTTTCAACTTTGAGTTACTCTTTTTCAACCTTTTCTTGAGAAATGTTGAATTTCGTTGCTTTAACTTTTTTCCACTTGTGGAATTTCGACATTGATTCTTGAGAAGTGGTACTTCTATTTGGAGACTCTCTCAAGTAATTCTCATAAACCTTACGAACTTGTTCTTCAGAATACTTTTTCGACTGAAAATTTTGACTTTTTTCTTCTAACTAATGATAATACTTTGACAAAAGATACTTTCATTTTTATTCAAATAAGGATTTGGAAAAAGATGGACCAAAAGGCTTAAAAGGCACATTCTTATTTACAACATTTGTCATCTTTGTAAAATTCATTTGAGATGATGATCTTTGTTGTTGACTTTGAAAGCGATTTTCATATCAATATTGATAACCAAAATGTGAATCTTTTTGAAAAGTCTTTTTATTTTGAGAAAATTTATTTGACCGTTATTTTGAAACTCCTTCATCTTAAGAACATTTTTCTCAACATAATTTTGATGAAATTGTTCATTTTGTTAAGTTCGAGTTGAACTCTTCATTTTCATTTTCTCGTTCACTTTTTGAGCAAATTTTGATTTTGGAGAAAAGCTTCTATTATGTTCAATATTCCTTCGACCATTATTTGAATTATATTTTGAGATATGTTTTGAAGCATGAATTTTTGATGTTTGTGAAAGGTTCTTTTCAGAATTTTGTTTATTCTTGTATTTCAAATATTTAGCTTTCTGATTTTCCTTTTGTTGCAACCAATAAGCCTTGTTTTGAGCTTTTTTTTTTTCTAGAAAATTAGTTTCTCAAATCAGATTTCACATCAATTTCCTTTTGATCTTGAAAATTCTCATTTTGATTTTTGAAATGAACGTTTTGTGTAACTGAGTTTTCTTTGTTTTTTAAATCAATAATTTTTGCCTTTTGATTATTACAATCAATAGGTAGAAATTTCTCATTGCTTTCTTCAGTTTTACTTTCAATTTTCGATTTTCTTGTTTTCACAACCAAATTTTGTTAGATTTCATTTCATTTTCATTTGAAAAGTATTTTCGACTCTTTTTCCTTTGAAAAACATGTAATCCATCCATATTCTGATTTGAATGAAAATCTTCTTGGGTCACCATTTGGTTGTTCATTTTCAATAATTCATTTATTTTTGGATCAAAAGTTTCAGCATTTCCTTTCGTCACAAAGAATTGATTTGGAGAACCTTTAATACATGATGGATAAAGAACAATATTTGTCTACAAAAATGTTTTCCATTGTCTTTCAAAATCTTTCAAAATCCCTTTGTATCATCATACACTTGAGTTTCTACAACTTGAAGAATTTCCTTCTCATTCGAATCATCATCACTACCACTTTCGTTATTGGTAATATCCTCAACAACAATTTCGTCCTTTTGTAAGTCATAAGATTTGGTGGTCGATGATGACTCATTGTTTAATTTTGTATTAGAATTAAAATTATCTTTATCTTTAGCCAACGAAGTGACATTGATGATAGACATTTTCGAGCAATCAACACATTCCTCTTCCTCAATTTCACTGATATTGTAAGAATTATATTCGATATTAGCAAATTTTTGTAGGGTACTTTGTGTCAAATTCTCAGTCTTGTTTAACATCTTGACTTGTTCACTTTTGGTTAAAGTCTCATTAACAATCTTATCAAGTTCATCATCATTCAAGCAATCATTTATGTTAACTACACTATAAGCATATGAATAATTGGGGACAGTGGTATAGTAAGATACTTTACTTTCACAATTGAAAGTAGTCTCATCAACTAACTCTCGTTTAAAATAAATAAAGGGAAGCAACTTCCAATGTTGTTCTATACATATGTCAACATAATTATAAAAATATGTAAGTGTTCCATAGAACCGTTTATCGGTATTACAGTAAATGTTTCGTTGTTTGATTAGCATCTTATTATCCATGCTAAGCGAGTCCCCATCACACATAATGTTTGTAATGTAAAGCTATGGGTGCGTTTAGTTGCGGAAAAATGGGTCGTTTTCTAGAAAAAATTTCCAAGAAAAATGAGAATTTTGAAAACGCGTTTAGTTCATCTATTTTTCTAAATTTTTCACGGAAAATGAAAATTTTCCGTTTTCTAAAATTACAAAGAGGTTGGAAATATTTGGAAAACTGATAATCATTGTTTTCCACATTTTTCTAATCCCAATTTTTTTCTAAAATATACCCCCACCTTAACCCCCCCCCCCCCACACACACACACATACATACTCACCCCCACACACACACCCGCACACACACACACACACACACACCAACCCACAAACACACACACATACATACCCACCCACCCACACACACCCACCCAGGCGCACGCACACACACACACACACACACCAACCCACAAACACACACACACATACATACCTATCCCCCCCCACACACCCACAAACACACACATACATACCTACACCCCCACACACAAACTCACACCTACCCCCACCCTCAAATACACACACACCCACACACACACATAAACCCACACCTACCCCCACAAACACACACTCGCACCCCCACCCACCCACCCAACACCACCACCACCACTATTGCCGCCATCACCGACCTACCATCACCATCAGAGAAGCTCAGGATGAGGGTATGCATTGGGAGATTTTGAAGCTTGAGAAGATTATGCATGAGAACACCCGATTTATGCGGGATAAATAGGGATTATTAACATGCCGGATAGTCAAGGCCGAGCATCAGTGGCTGCATGGTCAGTTGTAGCCTTTGGATATTCCCATGAGGAAATGGGAGCACATCACTATGGATTTTATCACCA